AAAATCAAGGAAGAAAAATTTGATCATAGTACCACTTTAAATGAATTAATAGGGCATGTAGCCTCGACGGTTTTCCTTGAAATTTGGCCAGAACATTCACTGATAGATACGGAACAAGAAAGTGTTGGCGATTTCTTTTATTTCAAATACTTTTCTCGTGGCAGTCTCTAACGCAACGTGTTATGCGAATTTTTTGATAGTGGAACTTGACAGATCTATAAAAAGACAACCAATAGAAATGAAAGAAAATGACGACATGCTTTGAGATTGATGCTTTGTGATTAACACTGCACAGTTATTTTGCATCAACGATCACATTTGATACCTGATTAATTCGTTTCGACATTAACAACATCTGCCGCCTTAGGAAAGCAGTCAGCAACAAATAATATAATTTGATTGATTTCTACATCTTATAACGTTTCTATTGATATATAGTTTGTGGGGGTTACTTCAAAACAGCACACGTACGAATTTTTTTCTGAAGGACACCCGCGAAGGTTTGAAGAAACCTTAAATGTTCGAGTTGTAATCGATTAGTAATGGCAGCTCCAGTAACTAACTGAAAGTTAATTACTTCTCGTGCGATTATTGCACAATTTGTTTAAAAGAGTCACTGAGTGAGATTTTTTTGTCAATCTAGGAAACTGAAATCTTCAGTCAATAAAATAAGGTTCAAATAGGATTTTCTGAGAGTAAAAGATCAAAGAAAAGCGGGGATTGGACGAAAACAAACCTCCAGTAGTTCAACAAGAACGCAGCTCGAAAATCCAGTGAGTTGAGTGAAAACAACTGCTCCATTCTCATTTAAAACAGTCCATTTCAGATTTGGAATTTGCATTCGGTAGAAAAATCAGGACATCACTGATTACATGGAGTAAGGACATTAACTTTACTTAGCTGAGACAACATTTGCGGCATATTGTTTTCGGAAAACATGGAGGCCAAGTGCAAGGTCTTGAACATAGAAATTGCACTGTTTATTAGATTATTTTTTGAAACTTTGCCAAAGAATTGATTGAGTGACGTATTTTCACTAGTGTCAGAGAATTCTGGTTTTGATGATGAATGGTGATATATAGTTTTTGTTTATGTTTTTTGTTCAGAGTGAAGTCTGGATTAGACGCAAAGGGCTACAAAACTCAAGCTGGACATCAAACCCATTACTGGAAGATTCAGTGAGTCGTGTTTTCACACTGTTTCAAAATAAGATGACGGGGAAAGGAAAAACACTGAGCTATACTTTTGCTAGTGGGTCTGATTAAGGCTTCGGTAATGGCTATCAAAATCTGTTGGCGAGTTGTACTTTGAAGCACAAGATAATGCCGATGATGAAGAGGCTTATGACTCACCTTGGGACCGGGACAACAGATCAGAGAGTGGTGAGGAATCTAACGAGGAAGAGGATTCATTGTGTATTACAAGCCTGGAGTCGGACTTATCAGAGAAAGGAAAAGTAACTTAGTTTGCGGGGACAGTCTCCAGGACCTCTTTTCTGCTGGCCGAATGCCTCTCCAATATCTTGATCTTGCTTTGTGGATGCTTTAACAGAAGACCCTCAGTTTTGCAATTTGAATGTTGCTCAGTATAAGACGCACAGTTTTAGAATTGGAGCCACTTCTTGGGCCGCAGCTAAGGGCATGTCCGACACACAGATTAGGGCCCTTGGATGCTGGAAACCTAATGCCTTTCTACAGCATATACGCACTTTTACAACTGGGATTATCTCAGCAGTCCCAACTTAACCCAGTACCACATGCTCTGCTTGCAGCTCAAAGCATTTATCTAAATAGTATTATTCCTCAAGCAGAGTGCAGATCTTTTGCACAGGGGCCAAGTGTATCTGCATTGTGTGTATCTTACTGGTAGCCAACAGTACTAGATATATTTGTTCTGTTTCGTATAGAGTTGACTGATTGGGAACATTTGCACAGGGGCCAACTACTTCCTGAAAGGTGCAACTTATCTTAAAATGATCTTATTTTACAATGTCTTGATCAAATCATGTGTGCAGGGGCCACTTAGTTCATTCAGAGCTGTTACACACGGGCCAACAATGCATTTATTTGGTGTTAAGTTATCTTGCTGCCTGATTGGGAACTTTTGTGCAGGGGCCAATCGTTTCTGAAAGGTACAACAAACCTTGAGACCAACGTAGTTATGTTGAATGTTGGAAAGCAGGTTACCAATTTGTGCATCAGACCATGTATGCAGAGTCCACTTGATTTAATACCTTAAGACAGTTTCAGTTACTAGGAGATAGCTCCTGCAGAGCTCTTGCCCTGTTATATAGTTGCCACATTGGGAATATTTATGCAGAGGCCAATTGTTTTCCTAAAAGTTGCAACAAACTTTGAGCGTAACATATATTTTTGCCATGGTTAACAAGTTAGCAGTTGCAGATCAAACCATGTGTGCAGGGGCCACCTGGTTAGATGCAATAATCATGTTTCAGTTGTTATTGGTTAGTTATTGTTACGGCACTTTGGGCACTGTGCATTGCTTTGGCTTTGGGTGGGGTGGCCCTGTAACGTTAACACGTTCAGGGCCTTGGCGTGATTGCCCTCACGTTTGCTGGGAAAAGGTGCTCATTTCCAGTTCTGTTGTAATTTGAGATGAACTTACAATAAATGGCCAATTAACTGAGTGGCCAAATTACAGCAAAGATTTGTCAGTTTAGTTCTCTTCCCAGCAAACCAAGCTTAGCCTTAGCAATACACATTGTGAAATGCAATCCGTAGTGATGGAGCAGGGGCATAAACAAAAACATCTCCAGTTCTGGGTATTAAGCTACTAAGGCAAACAGCAACAAACAACTTGTGAGGAACTTTCAATCAAGACACACCTTTCTTTAGCTGGATAGACGCATTTCAATCCACGATTCCCGTGTTTTGCAAAGTGGTAGCAATACATACCATTCACCAATACAGCCTAAACTTCATAACCAAGGGTTATCAAAGCCTCCTTTGAACATAAAAGTTTTTAGGTTCCTTACTTTTATCGAAAACTAGAATGTCAAATTGAACGCTTGTGAAACCATTCAGCTGCTGTTTATTCAATCCCAGCCCCCTCGTGGTTATTTGTTCTGAAAATACTGGGTGTTTACTGGGAGTACTTTGCTCCATTTTCGTTGCTTATGTAGTATTCTTTGGGACTCTAAAACTTACAGGAAACGTAGGCACGCAAGGCGTGCAAGAGTTATTTTTTTGTGTGAAGTGTCGGAGATAGAACCATTCATGGTATAGTGATGATTTGGTTAATTTGACAAGTTTTTATGTTTGCGATGTTACATCACTCATGGTAAGATAACTAAATAGTAAGCCATAAAATGCTTGACTGAACAAACTACAGTAATCTGACATGTCTCCAGATTAATGTAGATACCATCTTATTTTCTAGCAGGAAATTTGATTCATTCTTTGATACAACCCGCACTGTGATTGGTGTGACACGTGCACATGTATAACTCCCTCACTCACCGTTCACATAACCCTTCCCAGGGCTCGAAATTGCGACTCACTGGTTGCCAATGCGACCAAAAATTGAGCACTGGCAACTAAATTTTCAGAACTGGTCTCCAGCTGGCGACTCGCGTTTTGTCCGATAACTAAAGTAAACCATGACACAACTTTTGTTTTTAAATCTTTATATTAGGAAATCAATCTGATATGGTAGCTAGTATACAACTCACCTTTCCATCCCCAGTAAAATAATGTCTGAATATTACAAGATAATCGAAAAAATGTATTTCATTGATACTGCGTTCATGGCACGCCATATTGTTTCAGCGGCTTCTTCCGAAATTGGGATCACAGGCGCACTTCAACGCCACATGCTTTTCATTTGCCATGAAAATGGCGGCAGATGGCAGATACCAGATACCAATCAGTTGAAGGAATATACGTGAGTTTTTACGTGCGGGGAAAGAAGATTCAAGCATGGCATTGTTTGTCGGCAGCGAAAGGCAGCGAGGAAAGCAAGTCGAAAAATAAAGAACGGCATTTCGAAGAAGTAGCAAAGGGAAAATACGCAAGGACCCGTGTTTGTCTCACAATGTTTTTCTCACGGACTTAAAACGTTTTATGCTTCTCTTCATTTAAAATGACTATGGAGACAACCATCACCTTCGGACCAGAGACATATCACCTGAGAACAACAGTAGCTTTATAACTTTTTTACTCATGTTGTTTTTAATTGCTTTTGCTCTTCAATTGTGACTTTTCTTGCATGCAAAGTAACGTATATTGTGTTCTTGTGTAAGTTATAATTATATAAAATAAGTTGGCGACCAAAATTTTTCCGTTAGTCGCCAGCTGGCTCCCAAACGAAAAAGTTAATTTCGAGCCCTGCTTCCAACCCCCAAGAGGAATTTTTGCTCAAAAATACTCAAGTTAATTTAGAGACTTTTTCGCATTTTATACGAGTCGTAAGTTTACCTTTTTACACA